ATTATATATTTATGAATTATACATATATGCAGAATTATGTATATATTTTTAACAATGCCTGTAATTTGTTGGTGTTTAGTGAATAAAACACCTAGAAGTTAAATTCTAAATGAGTTACAGAGTACTTAATAGTCCTCATGCAAATTGTGGCCCTAATCAGATTATTTTGAAATTGAAGAGATTATTCCATTTATACTTTGGGAGTATAATGTTTTTCTGTTGGAAATAATTGTTAGCTTAATGTGTATGAAATACAAGCTCTTCTTTCTTCTTGAGGTAGAAGAACATGAAGAAACCTCGTTATATATTTTTTATCAGAGAGGATTAGACATAATTTAACACAGGAAATTCAGAAATAACTATTGGTCCATGACCCTATCTCACTGTTGCTTTCAATGAGATATTCTAAAATAGAATATTCATACATAATTCATCTCTGAAATGCTTACATCATGTATATATGTGTGAGAGGGAGATTCTGATAAAGATATTAAAAATATAGTAAAATTATCATTTGTACTTCAGTCTTTGGTGTGGCTCCAAAATTTCTTCAGGTTTTTTACTTTTTTAAAATTTTGTTTTCTTTCACTAGTGACTATGCAATTAACAAATCCAGTGAGCATTCAGTTTAGGCCAAAGATTTGTTCTTTTTAACATAGTACTAGAACATTTTCAATCATATATTAATGTTTTTGAGACCTTTTTCATTCACATCAGCACCTTCATTTTTCAGTTTTTTCATTCACTTTACATAAAGTAATAAAATATTGAAATAATTACACAAACATTTTTATTGTTCCTACTTTATGGAATAAACTTTATATCTGGCTCAGTAGTTGGAAGCCATTATATATAGGCTTTGAAATGGACATTAGAAGATGGCCTTTTAGGAGTAAATATTTAGGATGTGAATAGAGAGCCCCTGAAACTGATCAAAACTCTGAAACATACATTGCCATCTAATCATGTAAAGATGAATGATAATTCTATAGTTACCTTGAAAGCATTTGAAGAATTGAAGAGTAAACTATAGGACTTAGAAACATTGGTGGTGTATTGAATATTTTTATTGTGATAAAATAACCATAACATGAAATTTACCACTTTAACTATTTTTATGTGTACAGTTCAGTGGCATTAAATACATTCATATTGTTGTGCAACCATTCATGCATATTCAGAACTCTTCCCTCTTCCCAAACTGAAAATCTGTACCCATTAAACAATAACTCCACATTTGTTTCATCCATACTCTCTCAATCCGTAACCACCACCATTCTATTTCTATGAATTTCACTACTCTAAATACTTAGTATAATTGAAATCATACAATATTTGTTCTTTTGTGTCTGTCTTATTTCACTTAGGACACTGGTGGGGAACGTCCGGCCTGAGGGTCATCTAAGGCCCGTGAAATAATTTGGTCTGGCCCTGCCAAGGCATTAGGGGTGAGAGTTAATTAAATGTTTAACCATATACAGCAGGCTAATTTTAAGCTGATAATTTTGTATGGCCTGAGAATATTATAAAAATCCAAATGGCCCTTGGCAAAAAAAAAAGATTCCCCACCCCTGACTTAGAATAACATCTTAAAGGTCCATCCATGTGATAGTATGTTTCACAACTTCATTTGTTTTTTACGCTGAATAATATGCACTGTATGTATATATAACAATTGGATATCCATTCAGTGACATTTGAGTGGCTTCTACCTTTTGTGTATTGTGAATACTGTGGCTATGAACATGGGTGTACGAATATTTGCTTGACTCCCTGCTTTTTTTAAAATTGATTTTCAGAAAGAGAGAGAAATATCAATTTGTTGTCCAATTCACACACCCATTTGTTGATTCCTATATGTGCCCCCAACCCAGGGATAGAACCCCACAACCTTGGTGCATTGGGATGACACTCCAACCAAGATACCCAACCCAGACAACTCCCTGCTTTCAATTCTTTTGGGTATATATACCCAGATGTAGAATTGCTAGATTATATGGTAATTCCATGTTTAATTTTTGAAAAGTAGCCAATACTGTTTTCCACAGTACCTGCACCATTTTAAATTCCTGCCAAAAATATACAAGGATTCCAATTTCTCTAAATACTTCCCGAGACTTGTTATTTGTGTGTGTGTGTGTGTGTGTGTGTGTGTGTGTGTGTGTGTGTGTGGTTTTGTTTTTAATAATAGCTGTCTTAATGAGTGTGAGTGATCTTTTTTGAGATGAGGTTTGGGACTTTGAAAAAAAGCATGGGAAGTGGATTGCAGACTAAATATGGCTTTACATAGTGTTTAATGTTTTATTGTGTGTGTATAACAAAAAAATCTAAAAAAACTAATTTACATTTCAAAAAATATAGGAAAAGCAGTGCTCAGGAAAATTTATAGTTGTAAATGCCTATGTTTTTTTTAAAAAAAAGATCTCAAATCAGTAACTCACTTTAACCTTAAGGAAATAGAAAAACAAAAAATCAAATCTAAAACCAGGAGAGGGAAGGGAATAATAAAGATTAGAGATAGATGAAGTAGCATATAGGAAAATAATAGAGTTAATGAAACCAAAGCTTAAAAAAAAAGGTGAACAAATTTGACAAACTTTTAGCTCTAAAATTACTAAGAAAAAAGAAGGAAGACAACCATTTACATCATATAGTTCTATTGAAAAAACGGCCAAAGGATTTCTATAGATATTTCTCCAAAGAAGATATACAAATGGCTAACAAGCCCAGTAAAAGATTTTCATCCTCATTAGGGAAATGTAAATCAAAATCATAGTGAGAGAGCACTTAATACTCACAGAGAAGGCTATAAGTTTTTTAAAAAACTGAAAATAAGTGTTGGCAAGGATGTGGTAAAATTGGAACCCTCATACATTGCTGGTGGATAGTAAAATGGTACAACTGCTGTGTTTGTTGGGGTTTCTCAGCAAATTAAACATAAAATTACCATGTGAACCAGCAGTTCTCCTAGTTATATACCTAAATAAATGATGCGATGTTCACATGAAAACTTGTACACAAATGTTTATGGCAACACAAGTCAAAATAGCCAAAAGATGGAAACAACCAGATATCTATGACGGATGGATGAATAAACAAAATGTGGTATATTTATACAATGGCATATTATTCAGCCATAACAAAGAATGAAGTGCTCATACATGCTGCCACATGGAGGAACCTTGAAAACATAGTGCTAAGTGAAAGAAGCTGGACGCAAAAAGAGCGTACATAGTATGATTCTTTGTATATGAAATATTTGGAATAGGCAAATCTATAGAGATAATGCAGGTTAATGATTGACAAGGGCTGGGGGGAGGGACAGTAGGGACTGCATAATAATAAAGAGTTTCTGTTGGAGGTGATGAAAATGTTCTTGAATTGAGAAATAATGACAGTTGCACAACGTTGTAAATACACTGATTGCTACTGAATTGTACCTTTTTTAAAAAAAATACATTTTATTGATTTTTTACAGAGAGGAAGGGAGAGAGCTAGAGAGTCAGAAACATCGATGAGAGAGAAACATTGATCAGCTGCCTCCTGCACATCTCCCACGGGAGATGTGCCCGCAACCCAGGTACGTGCCCTTGTCCGGAATTGAACCCAGGACCCTTCAGTCCGCAAGCCAACGCTATATCCACTGAGCGAAACCGGTTTCGGCTGAATTGTACCTTTATAAATGGTTAAAGTTGCAAATTTTACATTATGAGTATTTACCACAATTTTTTTTTAAAGCTGTAGTACAACCCTGGCTAGATGGCTTGGTTGTTTGCAGCATCATCCTGTACACCAAAATGTCATGGGTTCGAGTCCTAGTCGAGGTGCATGCAGAAGGCAACTGATCAATGTTTGTTTCTCTCTCCTGTCTCTTAAAATCAATAAACATATTCTCAGGTGAGGATAAAAAAATAAATTTAAAAAATTTAAATATTGTAATACATCAGTCTCCTGTTTCACAGACTAGCGCTAGAGCTGATGACCAATGATATTAGCATAAATTGGAAGGGTTGTACCTTATAATTTGTGAAACATTTCCTAGGAAATTTTAAAAAATAAAATACAGTAGATCTCCCCCTTCCTCTTTTCTCAGTCATTTGGTCTGAGGCAGGGTCTAGGAATCTGTATATTAAGGAAACATTTTAGATGCTTATGATGTAGGTGTGCCTATCTGCTTATTCATGTAACAATGCAGTGTTATACCATCATATATGGGACACTTTAGAGCAGCGATCGCCAACCGGTCGTCTGCGGACCACTGATGGTCTGTGAGGTCTGAAAGGCTGGCGACCGCTGCTTTAGAGTGCTTTACATAAAAGTGTTTTACTCTGTGCTTTTCTGAAGAGAAGCAAACAAACAAATGTGAGATTGGCCAAATTTAAAAGTTAGATTTTCTTGTGTGCATGTGAGAAAACTGAGTCCAATAATTCAAAACTTCTCTATTCCCAAACCTTTAAATAAACTTACCCCTTAAGTGTATGTGGCTGCTTTATCTGTGACTTTGAGTCTTCTGACTACACCAGCATAGGCATCACATATTTATTCCAGTCCTTCTACTGTATAAATTTAAAAAGCAGAGGTTACTTTGTATACTTATAATTTATTAATATGAAATAACATGCTAAGATTTAACATTTAGTATTTCTAATTAAATTTCAACAGAACCTGAGCTATTTCTGAAAATTAGTGACATGTGGGGAATTTGTGGTTTAATTTGAAGCACAACCTAAAATCATGTACTTTAAAGCTGCTATGTGTGGCAGGCAAACCATTTAGGTAACGAATGATCTAGCTGCAATTTAGCAATTTAGCAATTTAGCATGGCTTCCTATAAATTTATTCTGATGAGATTAACTCTTGAGACAAGACTATTGTATGCTGTATACCAGGGAGAAAAATGTGCTTACTAGTTCCAAACACTAATGTTTTAATTTTTTAAACTCTAATCTTTGAGAAATATTTTTAAATTTAGTGAAAATTTTTTTCTTAATCACCTTTAGGTCAAACAGGCATTCGAGAAGCTATTTCCATGTCCTGTATAACCAATGGGAGTGGTACAAACAGAAAACCAAGTCATACCAGCTCTGTCTCAATTGCCAGAAAAGACACTTTTTCATCTGCTGCTAAAAGGTATCCAGAAAAAAAGAAAGAAAAACCGCAAGGACAGAGTGTGTGTGTGTGTGTGTGTGTGTGTGTGTGTGTGTGTGTGTGAGAGAGAGAGAGAGAGAGAGAGAGAGAGAGAGAGAGAGAGAGAGAGAGAGAGAAAACATTGTAAAATGGTTGAATGTGATAACAGCCCACTTCTGAAACAAATGTGAAGTAGAGCTTATGGAATTGAAGTATGTCCTTTGAACATAGAGACATCTCAGCCTGTACTCACTCAGTTTATAATCATCATACCTATTGAGTTGTATGAGGCAGCTTTTGGTTGTAGATTTAAAAAAACATTTGCATTTTCTGGAGCTTTTTTTGGTTTCTTTTTAACAAGCATTTGTTGATGAGTTAAGCGTCACTATGTTTAATATAATTACATAAGTGAATTTTCCATAGAAAGTGATACATTTGATATAACATGCTTGCCTATCTATAATAATAAAAGCATAATATGCTAATTCGACTGGACATCCTTCTGGCCAAAGCCGCGGTGGTGTGGGCAGAGGCAGGCAGGTGGCAGGCTGTGGCCGAGCCCTTTGTATGAATTTCATGCATCAGGCTTCTAGTTTATAAAGTAGTGGGCATACAATTTCAGGTGTACAACATAGTGATTCAGCATTTTTATGTACCCTATGATGTGATCACCACAATAAATCTAGTAAATATCTGTGACCATACAAAGTTATTAAGATATTAATGACTATATTTCCTTTGCTGTACATTACATTCCTGTGACTTATTTTAGAACTGTAAGTTTGTACCTCTTATTCACCTTCACTTTTTTCACCTAACCCTTCCCTTCCTTCTAGCAACCATCAGTTTGTTCTCTGTATCTGAGTCTTTATTTTGTTTTTTTAGGTTCCACATAAAAGTGATATTATACAGTATTTGTCATCTTCTAATGCAGCTTTTTAAAGGAGAAATAGAGTCTTTGATAAATATCTACATTAGTGGGACGTTAAACACTATTATAACTTTTATTCTTTAACCATGACTATAAAATTAAGGCTTAGTTTAAAATATAGTACTGTATGGTATGTGTATTATGTATGTGTGTCAGGGGATGGAAGACAATGGAAATACTGCAATATAAAGGTTTCAGTGGATTACAGATTTATATTCTCTACTTTTCATCAATTAACTTAATCTTTTGTTTCAACAAAATTGCTTTTGTGTAATTCCTAACAAATTATTCCATATGGAGTTTGGAGAGACCACAAGAGATGAACTACATAGTCTTAGAGCTGTTTTCTTCAAAGAATAATTGAGGACCTTAAGTAATAGAATAATATTTTAAAATGTACTGATAGAAAATGGTTGCCTCAATAAACTAATGCTAGTGACTGAATGTTAACCAGGAATGGTGAAGAAATGACAAGATCTTTAGGCCTTTTAAAAGCCCCTTCTAGAATTCAGTCTTTGAAGTCATTGTCATTACAGAATCTAGACTTTCTCCTCCAAGGCATGCAGAAATTTATTACCTGTGCTCTACTCTCAGGGAAGAAAATGACAAATTATAAGAAGACAAATGCATAGTGGAAATTTTTCATACAGTTTTTAATTAACTTCCTTGTATCCAGTAATAGTTCAGATTTTTACCAAGCTATAGTTCTGTGCAATGATCAATATTATGCATGATAATGACTCAGCAGTCTAAGACCAACTGAGTTTGTTACTTTATGATTCAGGGGCTTGGTAGTATTTTGTTTTTAATAAATCAAAAGGAAAATCTCTTAGGTTGTGTGTACCCCATATAAGAGGAGTGGCTTGTGCATTCAGGATAGTTTGAAGAACAAGAAAAAAGCAATTTCTAACTCAGATATAAATTTCAAAGTTAATCTGATATTTTTGAAGTAAAATTATATGTCAGCACACACTTTAAAAAAACACACACAAAAAACTGAACATGAAGTAGAGAGTTAAGGACCAGTCTGAAGGTATCAGAACTTAATCAGATTAAGAAATGTCACTGTCACCCTAACTGGTTTGGCTCAGCGGAGTGTCGGCCTGCGGAGTCAAGGGTCCCGGGTTCGATTCCGGTCAGGGGCATGTACCTTGGTTGTGGGCACATCCCCAGTGGGGGGCATGCAAGAGGCAGCTGATCGATGTTTCTCTCTCATCGATGTTTCTAACTTTCTATCCCTCTCCCCTGCTCTCTGTAAAAAAATCAATAAAATATATTTTAAAAAAATGTCACTGTCAAAATTATGTTAACATTTTAAACTATTATAATGCGATAAATTGTATATAGTATGCATATTTGTTTAAAATGTTTGTAAACCTACTTCTTGTAGATTTATACACCATATAGTCTAATTACAAAATGTTTTTGATTAAGTTTAAACAATTGATAGTATTCTACCTTTTCAACTCTGGAATTCAAGTCTTGATTCTATCTGCTTTGTAGTTTATGCAGTGTAAGGATTCTTACATCATGTGATTAGGCATGGCAGGTGCGTCATTAATCAAGAGTCAAAGTGTAAATACTGTCAACAATAAAAATAAAAGTCAAAGTGTTGAATCACAGAATTTATACATAAATGTTTGTTTTGGTTAATCCTCACCTGAGAATATTTTCTTCATTGATTGTTTTATTTTTAGAGAGTGGAAGGGAAGTGGAGAGATAGAGAGAGAACATCCTTGTGAGACACATCAATTGGTTGCCTCCCGCAAACACCCCAACCTGGGTGGGAATAAAGCCTGCAACTGAGGTACATGCCCTTGACAGGAACCAAACCCAGCACTCTTCAGTCCGTGAAACAACACACCAACCACTAAGCCAAACCAGCTAGGGCCATAAATGTTTTATTTAACACAAAATATCTTATATAATAAAAAGGTAATATGCAAATTGACCCTGATGGTAGAACGACCAGGAAAGACTGGCCAGTCGCTATGATGAGCACTGACCACCAGCGGCAGATGCTCAACATAGGAGCTGCCCCCTGGTGGTCAGTGCGCTCCCACAGGGGGAGCTCCACTCAACCACAAGCCGGGCTGAGGGCTGCAAGCACAGCTGTGGTGGCAGGAGCCTCTCTGGCCTTCTCAGCAGTGCTAAGGATGTCAACTGTGGCTTAGGCCCACTCCCTATGGGGAGTGCCTAAGCTGTCAGTGGGACATCCCCCGAGGGCTCCCGGGCTGCCAGAGGGATGTCTGACTGCCATCCTAGGCCTGATCCCCAGGGAGCGGGCCTAAGCTGGCAGGTGGACATTCTCCGAGGGGTCCCAGACTGTGAGAGGGCACAGGCTGGGCTGAGGGACCCCTCTCCCCCACTGAGTGCATGAATTTTCATGCACCGGGCCTCTGGTATTCACATATATTCATTTGTCAATTAAATGAGCCTCTCATCCCTTTCTAAGTATGCATTTCTGATTAGATGCCTTATTGATGATCTTGCATAAAATATACCCATAGATTATTTTTTATAATTTTTAGTTGTAGTTTTTAAAACAGAGTGAGAAATTTTAAAACTCTTGCAAAACAATATGAATTAGAACCCGTATCTTTCTCTATGATTTTCCCCCCTTAAACTTTTATAGTTGTCTCACCTACATAAAATGTAACAATAATTTTTTTAGTAACTCATTTATATGGAGTCTTTCTGGGGCATTTAACTTAGTGTTCATAAAGATTACAATTCTCTTTTCTTTGTATATTTTGTCAGTTTTCTTTGTATTTAATTACAATGAAAATAAGTACAGCTGGTGTAAACAGATTCAGGGGGGAAGCACAGTGAACTCTTGGTAAATTTAAAACTCAACTGGCAGGAGCAGAAGTATACAGAAGAAATGGGAATTAGAGAATAATCTTCTGAACATGGTCAGCATGCTTTGGGTGTCAGTATGTGTTACAAAAGTAATGGGAAGTGTCACTAATGCTCTCATTTGGGTAAGCTGAAATGAGATCTTCTATTGTTCTTCCAAACCTGCCAAGATGGTTTTGGGTCTAAAGGGGCAATAGATATATTACCTTATTATTCTTAAATTTTTCACTGAAGATTTTAATAGTAGCTTCCAGAATTTTCAAAGAAACATCTTCATTCCAATGAAAGCAGTGTAAATTGTATTCACATGTGTTTTAGGATTGAATTATATAATAATCACTTTTCCCGTCATTTAATTTCTTTTTGTTTAAATTTGTGTTGTTCCATGTTATACTTTATTTTACAGTGGTACAGAAAAAAAGAAAGAAAAACCGCAAGGACAGAGAGAAAAAAAAGAGGAATCTCATTCTAATGATCAAAGTCCACAAATTCGAGCATCACCTTCTCCCCAGCCCTCTTCACAGCCTCTCCAAATACACAGACAAACTCAAGAAAGCAAGAATTCTACTCCCACCAAAAGGTTTTAACTGTCCCTGAGTTCAGAGCTAGGGAATGGTTGTAATGATACCTAAATTCTATGACATGGGAAAAAGTTGGCTATCCATGGATTCCAAGAGAAAGCCTAGTGGCTTTTGTTTTTCCTTTATTGCTATAATCTATACTTTACACATTGGAAAATGAAGAATTTAAGATAAAAATTTCTCATTTAAAATGGGGAGGGGTTGGGTGGGAAACTAAGCTATGAACAGTTTGATGAAAGGAAAGCAGAAATAACCTACTCTAAAACCAAGACATTAATTTTCTAATAAAATTATAGAATATTTTAAATTTATATAACTATGCATAAATTTATAGCCATGGATAGAAAATTGCCATTTGTAATTATCCTCTTCATATTTTGGCATCATTACAACCTTTAGCTTTCAAGGGCCCCTCTCAACAAATGGCTCTTTATTGTTACTGCCTCTCAGTTTTAGGAGAATAAGTTCTTGCTTGAGTAGAGAAATAAATCCATTTCACTTGGTCTTTTCTATGCTAAAGGCTTGCTTGAGGGCTTCTCTCTGTGTCTGTAATAATTAATATTTTAAAGTTGTGAGAGGGGGAGAAGGGAGAGACATTCTAACAATGTGTGTAAGCCTAAATTGGGGATCTAAACCTGCATGCTGGGAGTTCAGTGCTACAGCTGCCTTATAAGCAAATATTTAGACCAACTTAATGAAATAATGCCTGCTTTAGAAATGCTGATTTTAGCTATATGATTAGGTATAGTTATATGGGGTGGGAAAAAGTAGATTTACAGGTGTTCTTTTGCGAAATAATGCAATAATTAATAATAATAATACTAGAGTAAACTCTGTTTTGCATACTCAACAACTATAAACCCACTTTTACCCACTCCTCTTTTTATCAGCATACTTCCACTTGGAAATCTTAGGAAAATATTAAACCATTCTCAGAACTGGCTAGGATTCTAGTAAAATAAATAACCATTTCTAAAAGATTTATAATATATTTTTACTTGATCAGTTTAATATTTTGCCTTAAATCACTAATGGGAAATTTGGGAAAACAAAAAAATCCTTCACTTTATTGATGCATGTTTAACATTTTTAAAAATGCTTCGTCTGTGTGTCTCATGCAAATTTTTCTCCCTGGTCTCATGTGGAGTTTTTCTTAGATACAGCTTATTAATGTTACACACTTTTGAAGTGTATGTGGTTAAAGGTAACTTATTTTTATAATCAATCTCTTAAAGGTTCTGATTTGATCTGATGTCTTCTTTGTCCCAGGCCTTCTTTCCAGCTTATTAAGGTCTCTTGGAAATGTGCTTGCCATTCTAAATTGCTCTTTGGTATACTATTGTGAGAAGTCTTGAAGACTTGGATGAGTTATGGGATGGTTAGCAATGCAGCCAAAAATTTATATAGAAGTCAGGAAATTTTCAGTTATAAATAAATGAATCAGTGTTATAATACAACATTCTTAGGTTAAATTGTGTTTATTTCTAGTCATGGGTAAAATTGTCTCTAAAAGATATAAACAAAAGTTTTACTTTTAGTCCCACAATTTATTTAGAAAGTATCATGTGTACCATATATAATGACATATAAAATGAAATAGCAGCTTTATAACAACTTAGGAAACATTACAGGGTTTTTCACAAATTCATACAGTTCCACCAATTATGAGAAATAGTGCTACTTGGAGATTTAAGCAAATAGATTTTTCCTATTAACAAAAAAAGTACAGATTTTAAAAAATCAAGTAAAACTTATTGTAATGAGTCTTCTGAATAATAGTGAAAACTATAAAATAGATTTGGTAATTGCCTTGCTTTACTCCTTTACTCATCCAGGCAGAACCTTTCAACTAATGCTTCCTTTTCTTTTCTGAATTAGTTTTAAGGAAATGTTAATTGCTGCTTTTATATTCTATATAAACTGTCAATTATATGTCATTGCTATTTATAGAATTTTTCTCTAAGAAATTAATTTGTTTCTTTCAGCATAAAACGACCATCAACAGCTGAGAAGTCACATAATTCCTGGGAAAATTCAGATGATAGTCGTAATAAATTATTGAAGGCAGTTTCAACATCAAAATTAATATCAAAAGTTATAAAAAATACAGACAAGTAAGTATTATACTTTCTCAGTTATATCTGAAAATTAGTAAATATGTGACTGTCATGTTTGCACGTACAATTAAGTGCCTGGTTTGAATTATTTTTTGAAACCTGTAACATAGACACAGATATCAGCATGGTGATTACCAGAAAGAAAGAGGAGTGAGTAGGACAGTGATGGCAAACCTATGACACACGTGTCAGAGGTGACACGCGAACTCATTTTTTTGGTTGATTTTTCTTTGTTAAATGGCATTTAAATATATAAAATAAACATCAAAAATACAAGTCTTTGTTTTACTATGGTTGCAGATATCAAAAAATTTCTATATGTGACACGGCACCAGAGTTAAGTTAGGGTTTTTCAAAATGCTGACACCCCAAGCTCAAAAGGTTCACCATCATTGGCCTAGGCATTGAAGCTTTTACAGTTTTTTCAGGTGGTTCGTAATAATGGTGAGCCAAATAACATTATAAAATAAATGCCTTTGAATTTCTTTTGTAGGCATAAAGATGTCATCATCAACCAAGGTAAAAATTATTTTTTAAAATCTTTGCTTTTCTATATCAGTTAAATTTTTGCTAATTGATCAGTATACTGACTATTTTCATGCAATGTACTTTATTAGCTCATAGTAATTAAAGAAAAGTGCATTATTATAGTCATTTAAGAAAATGCCCAATTATTATAAGATGTCATTTTTGTCTCAACCAGCAAAAATGTCAACCCGTGAAAAAAACAGCCAAGGTAAGAATAAGCTATGCAGTTGGTCACCTTCTAAGTTAATTTCTTCCTGTATCTCTTAATTTGGCTTTTCATTTATTTATACTACCTGACTTTCCTCAAATTACCATATTTGAACTAATGAATTCAGCTAATTTTCTAAAAACCTATCTTATTTCTGTGAGCTCTGAAGATTCAAGGTCAACAGTAGAAATAAATACATCATTACAAAGAGGTATAAAATACTAAAGGGAATTTCTCTCTTTACCTAAGTTATACTTAGAAAAGCCATTTAAAAGATTGATAAATTTTAACTCAATTTCCTGTCTTGCCAACTTAATTGCAAATAATCACTTATTTTTTTTAATGTTTTTATTGCTTTCAAAGAGGAAGGGAGAGGAAAAGAGAGAAATATCAATGAGAGAGAATCATTGATTGGCTGCCTCCCACATGCCCCCTACTGGGGATCAAGCCCGCAACCCAGGCATGTACCCTTGACCGGAATCAAACCCAGGATCCTCCAGTCTGCAGGCCGACGCTCTATCCACTGAGCCAAAGCGGCCAGGGCTCACTTATTTTTTGAAGCTCAGACTGAAAATATGAATCTAGAAAATCCATTTTTTCTTAAATGTTTTTATATTAATTATAATTTCTGGCTACTTGTTGCTGTTGGCTTGTTCTGACCAAAAAAATGAGAGACTTTTGTAAATGTGTATTTAATTTAATTGCAAAGTAGGTATGTTTTGTACATCAGTTTTACATCCCCCTTAGATTGCCTGCAGATTTAATTGAAGCATGCTCTCTAAATGAAAGCATGTCCTTTTTGTGCATGCTTTTTACAGTTCGTTTCTGTGTGTTGTAGTTTTTATTTTCTGACTTACATTAACCAGATACATTATGGTTAACATTTTTGCTGAGATTTAACTTGATTTCTATGAATTTTTACCTTCTCTAGTTTCAATAACAGGAGAAATATTTATTTGTAATCTTCGTTGGATTATTTCTTTTTCTTAGAGATTTTAAATGAAGTTGATTTTAGCTGGCATTCCTCACCTTTAGTTAGGGCTTACTTTCTTCCTCTTTTATAATTTAAGTATAGACTAAGCAATGATTGAAATAGTTGAAGGAAATAATAAGATTTTTATTTACAAAGACAGTTTTTATTTCTGTATATCAAAACAGTTTTTAAAAATAGAAGTAGTGATATGTAGTGGAAAGAGCTGTGAGTGGAAAATCTCTGTGTTTGGTCTTTAGTCCTGGTTGTTCTAGCCTTGTGACCTAGGCAAAATGACAATGTCTCTTAGAGTTTTCTAATCTGAGAATAATAACTATAAAGTTTACGTCACATGGCTCCTGAAGGATGAAATAATATACAGGGGTGAGCAAAAGTAGATTTACAGTTCATATGGAACTAGATATGCAGATTATGATTATTATAGTAGTTTTATAAACTATTTTGTGTACTCACAACTGTAAACCTACTTTTGCTTATCCTCTATATATGAAAGTACTTTAAAAATAGAAGACACCATAACTATAAAAAGGTGCTGTTATTATTACATGTTTTGCTAAAGAGCTTAAATTTTGTAAAATCCTATAGGATAAATGAGAAAGGGCTAGCTGTCTTTTTCTCATGTTGAAGTATGTTCTTTGGAAGGAAAAAGGAACTTAAGATTAGTTTTGTAATAAGTGAATGGTTTGAATTGATGACAGTTTTCAATACTCTTCAGGTATTTAGGTAAATAAATCTATTTAAAAGGGAAGATTTTTGCTATAAAAGCATCACTAAACAGGGTTTTAATGCCTGTGTCTAGAAAGATTGATGGAATGGAAAGCTGGAAAAGATAACAGAAAAATAAATTCTGTTATAGAATTTTTTACCTCAAAAAGATTGTCCCAGATGTTGGAATTGAATATCAATTGTTGCTTGCATTTAGATTTTTATTTTTTTGGAATTTGAGCCAATTCCTTTGCCACTTTAATAAGTTATATTCTATCTGCAGTGTACTCTTAACACTAGAGTGTATCTTTAGGGAGAAGTCTTGTATTTCAGCTTGTTAGGTAGTACAGGCCTGACTGAGATTGAGACAGAATCTGTAAGAATCTTTAGAAAAAAGTAGATGGATTCTAGATAGTTTAATAGGTGGGGTAGAAGAGATAAGGAACAGAGGGGAATCTATGAAGGCTAGCTTGAGCAACTAGGTCAGAGGCATCTACTAAAGTGACATTTGAGGAAGAGTAGATGTATAGAAAAGAATAAGAGTTTGGTTTTGAACAGATACACTTAAATTGTCTGTAAGACTTAATCTGCTGTGTAGCAAGCCACATAGTGTACCAAGCATGTCATACTCGCAGCCAGCGGGCCAAATGCCTCATTTAAATAAACACGAGTTTGACATGCTTGACTGTAAATGTTTAAACACGTGTATTTTGGAGTCCAGAGAATGGATTCACCATTATTTAGCTTTGTGACTTAAGATTACTACTTCTTTTTTGTGGGGGGAGGGGTGTTTATCCTCACCTGAGGATATTTTTCCCCATTGATTTTTAGAGAAAGTGAAAGGAAGGTGGAGAGGCAGAGAGACACATAGATTGGTTGCCTCTTGCCCGCACCCCAGCTGAGGCCAGGGATGGAGCCTGCAACCAAGGTACATGCCCTTGACCGGAATTGAACCCATGACCCTTTAGTCCACAGGCCAATGCTCTATCTAGTAAGCCATTTTCTTAAGTTATTTGTTTTCTCATGAGACAATAATAAATTCTAAATGATTATTATAAAAATAAAGATAATAAAATGTTTAAACATAGTACCGGGCATATCAAATCAAGTAAGTTTTAGTTGTTACATCCTTGTACTGAAATATGTTATAAGATGAAAAGATGACCATTAAATAGATAACCTTCATTTGATAAAATTGTAGATATATTTTTAAAGTTTGGTATTCATTTTGGATAGCATATTTCACAGCACATTTACTTACACCTTAGGTATTAATCCAAAATATGTGTTATTTTTAGACACTCTTTAAAATATGATTTATTGATTTCTTTAGCTCTTTTTGACAATGACAAGTGTGACTTGCTCCAAGTCATCTGTTTTGATTTGGGAAGAAGCCTATTTACATTTGATAACGTTTAGGTGAGTGGTAGCAGGGAAAATTTTACTTCAAAGGCCTGAGTCCTTCAGCCACAGCAGAGTAGTAGGAGAAGAGCTGTATGTAAGCTGCATGTTCTGATTAGCACTCAGGCAGAAGGAAGGAAACCGTGCATGAAAGCACTGGAAGGTGGAATGGGATGTATACAGGGCAATCTCTGAAGCTAGGTGTGGGTGGAAGGACAGGTTAAACCACTGAAAAGAGGCTCTTACTGACTTAGATCTTTATCTACACTCAAATCCCAGAAGCCTAAACACTTTCATTACTCTTCTTTCTATTTCTGGCACATTCTGCTCCCATCTCAAAAGAAATAAAGACTTAGCACATCAAGTTAAACTGAAGAAATTTTCCTGTAGGACTGTTTATTGTTAGATGTAGCAGCTAGGTTTCTAGTACAATACTACTCATTTAGTAAGTTATTAATTAGAAAGCTTTTTGAGCTAACTTTTATAAAATTATTTATTGGGGGAAATAGATAATCTGACAAATTTTGTAATAAGCAAAATGAATACAGCCTATAAGCTCATCCTTATAATGGTTATCCATATATCCTTATAATGGTTTCCATATTTTTTAAATATGGAAAATAAGTTTCACATGAATGCCCTCAAGTTATTGCATATGACTGTGTGTTTTTTTCAGGCTTGGATAATCTTTCGTCACTTTTTCTGTATAGTGTCTTAGCAAATAATTGTCTGATCATATTAAGAACCTGAATGACTCAGATTCCTATTGGAGAGAAATCTGCTTAATTGAGGAAAAGGAAACTCATCAACCACCAAGTCACACTCTTCCTCTTATAGTGGGTTTCATTGCTCTAAGATTAGATTCATTCTTGCTTAATTGTCAAATCATGCAGTAACATCCTAGTTACAGGTGTATTTAGCGGGAAAAATAGTTAATTATATTTTAGAAAATTGAGACATAATTCACAATTTATTAGCTACTAAGCTACCTGTCTAAAAATGGCTTCAGATGAAAAGTACAAGTCATTTTGAAATACATAACTGTCTTAATGCCTTCGGTAATTTGTTGTAGCCACACAGTTCAAATAATCTAAAAATATAAAATCATTTATAAAATTGGAAAAAGAAAGCTCTTAAGTAATCGTTTAATTTTCAAAGCTATTCCAGTTCTTATGTATTTCTTTATTCTTTATCAGATACACTTTTTTAAAATAATTTTTTAAATGTATTTAATTGATTTTTTACAGAGAGGAAAGGAGAGAGATAGAGAGTTAGAAACATCAATGAGAGAGCACCATCGATCAGCTGCCTCCTGCACATCTCCTACTGGGGATGTGCCCACAGCCCAGGTACATGCCCTTGACCGGAATCGAACCTGGGACCTTTCAGTCCGCAGGCCGACGCTCTATCCACTGAGCCAAACCGGTGACGGCTAAAATAATTTTTTAAATGTATTTAATTGATTTTTTACAGAGAGGAAAGGAGAGAGATAGAGAGTTAGAAACATCAATGAGAGAGCACCATCGATCAGCTGCCTCCTGCACATCTCCTACTGGGGATGTGCCCACAGCCCAGGTACATGCCCTTGACCGGAATCGAACCTGGGACCTTTCAGTCCGCAGGCCGACGCTCTATCCACTGAGCCAAACCGGTGACGGCTAAAATAATTTTTTAAATGTATTTAATTGATTTTTTACAGAGAGGAAAGGAGAGAGATAGAGAGTTAGAAACATCAATGAGAGAGCACCATCGATCAGCTGCCTCCTGCACATCTCCTACTGGGGATGTGCCCACAGCCCAGGTACATGCCCTTGACCGGAATCGAACCTGGGACCTTTCAGTCCGCAGGCCGACGCTCTATCCACTGAGCCAAACCGGTGACGGCTAAAATAATTTTTTAAAT